AATTTAGTTTACAACTGAATTCTTTGTAATCTTGTATCTATTAGATTTATTCTAGTTTTACATGAAATAATAAAGAATAAGAGAATAAATAATTTAAATTAAAAATAAGTAAATATTTTAGTCTGCTCATATATTATAATACATTTTTAGGCCTATAATCTAGAATAGCAAATTTAATACTGAAAAAGTAATTGTATTCTAGATTTGATTATAGAGTTTACAATGAATATAAACCAAACACTTATTAAGTTTTTATAAGAATAAGTCAATTTACTAAAATATACTTTAAAAAATTTCTTTTATAAAGTCTTTAATTTGTCCACAATAAAGGATTTAACAAATATATAACTCCTATATCAAATAATCAAATTCAACATTAGTTTAATGTTTAAAAAATAGCGTCATTGAGAGTCTAATAATTATTATTAGTTAAAAATAAAATTTAAATTATATATTTTAAACAGGAAATTAAAAATATTAATCTGTAGTAGCAATCAGATAAGAGAATCCAAACTATTTTTCTGTAAATTAATGTTTTCTATATGTAACGTTGTTAAAGCAAAATTTTTAAATTTCTTTTCTGCTATTAAATTCCTATTAAAATGATAAAATAGAACTAACAAAATAGCTAAACATTTAGGAAAAAAATCGATTCTCATAATTACAAAACAATAAAAGAAACAACGAATTCTAAACATCGTAAAGTAAATATAAAAATAGGAATAATATTAAAAATACAAATTTAATCGTTAATAAAATAGACTGAAAATTTGGATAATAAACAAAAGTTAACTTTATTGGAAAAGTTGAAATTCAAATAAAAAAATCCTATTGCTTTTATTAAATAAAGTATAGTTAGTTAGGTTATTCAATGTACGAAAATTATGTTACTCTATACAAGCTTACATAATATTCATAAGCAGATCTCATTTACAGAAGAGGTCCCAACAGTCTATGAACTACATGTCCTACTCTATGGCTCTAATATTTTAACAAATTACATTAATTTAAATTCCTACCGAAGTTTAATCTATCGTACTCTACACCTTATTATTCAATATACTACACAATATATAATGGAGTCTATTATACTTATAAGCTGAGCAAATATGCTATTCGCAACTTAGATGAAGCTTTACACATTCTATAATATATTCTTTCATTTAATCATTTCTAACACATAAAACGTTTGTTTATTTAAAATGTTTGTTTTCAACTATAAATCTTTAAAACGTTGAATGTGGCTAATTATCGAAGTTCTAGAATCTTAAAGTATATTCTTGTATGTTTAAAATCTAATAATGGCTAACGGAATCAGCCGAAAATGCTTGTCCTGATGTAAATTTTATGGAAGATAGTCAAGGTTTTAGTTTCTTTTCTTAAGTTGTAATATGTTTAATTGTTTTAAAGATAAAATTTTCACGCAATCTAAATTATGCGGGAAAATAAAGAAAAGTTTGCTTTATATAGGCTCTATATTTTAAAGATACTCAAAATATATCCTTAAATATCAACAGTTATAATATTTACCCCGCTAGAACTGTATTTAATTTAAAATAATTGAACAGTTATAATACTTTGATTACTTTTTAAGAGATTTTGTGTAAGTTAAAAGCAATATTCACGTTGATTTTTTTTCTAAATTAAATGTGGTTTTAGTTATTATTCTAGGTTTAATATAAAAATTAAGAAATGTTTAAAGTTTATTTTAATACCGAAAGGATCCAATATTGAAAAGAAATTTATAGAATTTTGTTAGTTCTTTAAAAGTAGATCTTGTTACATCAAGACTATTGATATTGGCAGCTTTTATGTTAGTTAGGCTCTAACCGATTGTATACTACAATTACATTTAACAAATTTTTCATTATAAAATTACATTTATGCAATATTATGTTAATATTTCGTTTGTATACTAACTTACATAATGTAAACGAAACGTTCAATACACGTTATCGAAGCTCAATATAATCAATATTATAATAAAACGAATAAGATCAGAAAATATACTTGATTTTGTTTGAAGTTTCGTCCACAACAACATGGTAAATAGTGTAAATCAATATAGTTTCTATTCAAATGAATAAATTGTAACGGTATCTTGATTTGCCTAAAAAATGGTATAACAATTGAATTGTACATACGATAGGCAAACCTATTCTAAAAGAGAACATGGCCAGCATGACACCAAAAGCTGTCCATTTGAATAATTCAGATCTTGGTAACCGCCTTTGCTTCTGTCAAACCTCCAGATTTGCATCATGTGAAGACAGTATACAACCGACACTGATCGGATAAAAGATGCTTTCAATCTAGGAAGAAACTGTCTCTAATATCAATCGAAACATTGATGCCACTCGATTACATCTTGCTCTTAGCTTGTGAGGAAGTTTTTGATCAGAGCGCGGCTTTATTGAATCTTTATTTCGGTTGGTTTATGTCTCGCATACATTTGAATAGTATTGATAGCAACTTGCTTCATCTGCATGGTACATAAGCCATTGATTATACTTTTATGTCAGCTATACAGACTTTCTAAACAAACCGCAGAATGAAGTCAAGTTGGATAGAAATCTATATAACAAAGTTCAGAAATGAAAATTTTATGGAAATATCCTATGAATATCATAATTTGTTCTACATGAACAGAAGCATGTAAGAAATATTCATAAATAATAGATATAACCATTTTTCAGTATTAATTCGCATAAACAAATATATTCGATATAAGTTATAGGTTACCTCATCTAAATGTACATAATTTTTTAAAACTGACATTTGTATTTCGAAACAAAAGAAATTTGAAATTCTGAACATAAATATTTCCAATTGATACCTCAATATACTTAAGAATATTTATGCTTAAACGTAAGATATTAAGTATATTGAAGTAAGCTATCAATTGAAATGTAACTTTTTTGTAATCGCCTTTTTATAATATTCCTTGAAAATGGCACTTTTCTACACAATTTTAGTATAAAAACAATATGTTTACGGTTTAAAAATGATTACAACTAGCATTAAACCATAATCAATTCAGCTATAAGTTATGAAAATTTTGAAATCAAAGATAATTCGAATACATTTTAAAGTGTTATCATAATAGAATAAATTCTCACAATGGCTCAACCTTAACAATAACATTTTTAGGTTATACACGTGGCATTAACTTTTCTACAGTTATATGTAATTGAAATTTCTGCAATTCTTATAAAATCGAAGAAAATTAGAAATTTTCGTTTAATAATAATAAATATCTCAGTAAACAGAATGAAGATTTTAAAAAATAAACTCAAACGAATTCGATGTTTTGGGTGAAACCACACGAATTAAAATTTAGTTTATATCATAATTAGTATTTTGTTTATATTTTTAATATAAAATTATCGTAAAAATATTAATCATGCATAGATAGCAGCTGAAATTCTCAGCGCAACATTTACGTAGACTGCTTGTTTCTAACATTTTAAATATCAATCAATACGACACTATTAATTTGATATTTTTAAATTAAAAAATAGAAAATTTAGAAGTAGAATACATAAAGCACTTAAATAAGTTATATTTTTAAAAAGAAATTAAGTCTATTGAGGCATCAATTGGAATGCTCAACGCTTCAGTAGTCAAGACTACGGCCCATTTTATTTTTGTCTATCTTTGAAATCGAAACCATTGCGATTGTATGAAAGTATCCTGGGACTCTTCCCAGCTATGCTCCATTGGGACTGGCTATCCATTCATGGCCAAAGACGGAATAAAGCGGCCATGGACGACAAAGTCAGGCTGAAACAACAACCGCGAAGCCAAATAAAAAATATTGACCGTCAGTCGGAGAAGAAAGAACAAAGAGGAGGAGATTTTTATCACGTCCCAATGGAAAGCGAGATGACAGCGTTAGCATGCTCAACATCCAGCTCTTAAAACTAGAGGTTTCTCGGCTCTCGTCCGATCTTATCGATCATCATCAAGGAAAGTAGCAATCCGTCGTCTCTCCGCCATTAGCCGATTCCACCTCGGGACCAAACTCTTGATATATACAGAGCTACAATGCTGTTTTTGGTTTAACCGTAGTCTCTCAGGTGTTTAAATCAGAAAACGAAAACACATTTAAAGTAAAATCAGGCCGAGTAATCGTTCTGCTTGCCGCTAAATGATATATAATTTCTTTCTGCATGCATTAAAAAGATTTATGAAACTTTGCAGTTAGATACAAGATATTTAAATGTTGTAGCAAGAAAACGGAACCCCCTTCCAATTTGTTCGATTTACTACTAAAGTGTTCATAAATATATGAACTTTTACCAGTGTAAATTCATTCTCATTTACAGAATAATTATGAAATCAATGATCTATTAACGTATTAGATAAAGTGCATAATTTATAAATATATAAGTTATTTTATATACAGAAAGTTAAAATGGTGATTATGTAAAATAAAACTATTTATCCTCTGGGAAACATTTAAAAATAAAAAAAATAAATAAATTATTTTAAAGACGAAAATTATTTTTCAGAATAATACTATTAAAATTTTCTATTCAAATAGAATAAACGGACTTTATGATTATTATTTTAAAAGTATATTTACTATGATTTAATATAAAATTGTTGTATTTACATTCTCTTCAAAGCAACATCAATTTATTTAAGCAAAATATATTTCTTTCTAGGTAACAGTAAACTGCATTTCTATTAAATATATAATTTGATGAAGTAACCTAATTGTATTCGAGAAAAGCTCGTTAAAACTTTCATTTTACTCCAAAACTTTGCAACTTAGTCTGATTACTATCAATGAATATGAAGCTTACATGATTAGACGGAAATTAATGATGTCTTTCCAATTATTTTAGTAAACAATCTCATTTCTTTCGCTTTGTTTCATAGTTAACTCAAAGAGAAGTTTAAAATCACAATACTTTTTAAAACAAATTTAATCGAAAATACTAAAAATAAAAAAAAATTCTCATTTATCTGATAAAATCGTAAAGAGTAAACAGGTTTTCCTTATCAAAACCCGTTGAAGTAGTTAAATACACACTGCTGTTACTACTGCGGCGTTTCCACACGGAACTAACAACTTTCTAAACGTTTCATATTGTATATGATAGCTCTACCAAATACGGCCACTCTTAGTTTTGTGCTGCTATAGAGCTATTTTTGCACCCATAGCTACCATTCTTGTTACATACGATCTACTAAATAAATCATCACTGCTCGTAGGAAGGTAACGTCAAATGAAATTTCATTTTAAATTCAACGAACGAAATAAACTGACTCGAAATTTTGATAAAAATCTAATTGTTTCAGGAGAATAAGGTAACGTTTGTTGAACATGACTGCTGCAATTTGGCTGTGGAGAATTCTTTTCCTTTCCTCCCAACTTCTAATATCTTGGACAGAAAATACTAAATGTGTGAGTAACGATGTATATACAAAACTCAAAGAAGTAGACAAACTCATCCATCAGAGTAAGTNAAAGAAAATATTTAAAACTTTGAAACTGTAAAGGATATAATCAAATTTTGAGACTATGAGTAGAGCAAATCTTTAGAAATATTCTTACCTAACCATCTTCATCGGTAGGTCTAGAGGGATTTGATGGAGCAAACTGCTCCGCAGACCGAGGAAAGAGGTGCCTCATGGACGATTGAGGAACCTCTTCCGGACTTAAGTATTCCCTCTCAACAAGGGCCTTGTCCACTGCAGCTGCCCTCGTGGACAGTTAGTCAGAGGGGATCGAGCTTAGAGATTCTCAGAGGGGTCATAAACATGTCAGCGTAAGTCCCTTTGTCCTGCTGTTTCCATAGAATAAGTCAGGGACGAACCCCGTACCCTTTTTGGCCGTAGTTATTAATGATCTTTTGCACTGCAGGGACTGTCAGGATAGGTATCTGGGAATTCGTGACATATGGTGGTCTCGAACAGGGCCCTCGTCATCGCCAGGGACACCTGTCAACTTCTCAAATTGAAACGCCACCCTGTGTGAATGCGGGGAGGGTCTGCATCTGAAGGGATCTCAAGACTTCGTCTACAAGTCAGATATATCAATTTTTCTCCCCAACCTCTTTGTAAGCTTCAAACAGATGAATTATCAATAGAGACGACAAAATTTGTAAAGAAGAATTTTGTTCTTGATTTATGTTTCAAGAACTCTTAGAAATTTTTACGGTACTTGTTTCCAATTCATACAATCCTAAAATTATGAATTTATTTATCGTAATATTTTGTTAGCATTCTATTTAAGTGTCGAATCGTTGAATGAATTTTAAAATTTGCTTTAAAAATACGTTAAATACAAATAAAAACATATTTCAGATGGACTGTACTATACAGTCCATGTGAAATATCTATCTGAAATGCATTTTTTATTGAGTTTAATTAACTCAAAAGTATATTTATATATAAAGTTATTTAATAAATATTGCAAGAAAAAATTTTGTTGAATAAAATATTTCAACTGTTTGAAGAAAAATATTTTCTGAGGTCGATGCATGGCTAAGTTGATCATTATTTAACGATGATGAAAAAAAGAAAAGATGTTAAAACAATTCGCATATAGTTCCGTGTCTTGACAACCAATAAAAAGAATGAAAGCTAGTTTAAAGAAGTGCCGAAGGTCTTTTAAACGTATAGTGATAAACAGCGACAGTGTTGAGGTCTTCAGTAGCTCGGGGAGTTTTAATAGTCCTTGTTCCCGACTCTATCAGTAAGTTAACCGCTCCTTCACTGATGGTGTGAAGACAATTGATAAGAAAAGTTGACGATATTTTCATCCCTTTTCTATCGAGCTTCAAATGAGATTGTTTGTTTCGCTCACTTCATTTTCTATTGATGGCTTTTCCGCTGCCGTACTGATGTTTAGTGGTTATCTCAAGCTTAAATCATTTCTACAGAAGCTCCTCTCGAACAAAGCCTGGTCGTAATGGTCAAACAATAGCTTGGTATCTGTTAGAATATGATCATTGTGTTGTAGAGCTTAGATTCATATGTGTTAATAATAGATACCGTATCTTTTACAAAGAGAATACAATAGAAATTTAGCGAAATTAATTTTGACATTATGCTTCCTGTTTAAATTCGGTAATTGCCAAGATCAAAGCAATTATTAGACTATGAAATGAATTATAAACCATACCTATAAATTAGTTTCATCCATGGTGTTGTCAGTTGCTTTAATTTCTGTCCGAAATAAATACTGTGATCTAATCTTTATTTATTATCTTTAAATTGAAAGATTAAGCTACACAATTAATTAATACAATGTGTGAATCTATTGATATGTTAGATAATTATCTTAATAATAATTTTAATTTCTAAATAAATATTAAATTCTTACATACGAATCAAGTAAGAAAATACTTTTATTACATTCGAATTTAGAATTTCCTATTTGCTTTTAATATGTAAATATATTTTATATATTTAATCCTTTTAAAAAAAACAATTCGAAAAATGCACCTCAAAGTGACTTTGAATCTCGCTAAAAATATCATCAATAGTGGATATTTTTACGCTCTCTATTTTTAAAATAGGGGGAAAAATGCTATAAAGCTTTAACATTTAATTCTGTCGATATCGTCTTCTTTAACTCGACTATCAATGCAATTTATTCTCGAATATAAGAGTATTCAAAATTCCTTTATCATTTGAAACAATTAGTCTTGACACTGATTTAGAAATGAATGGACTCCAGGCTATGCACAGTTAAAAAACAATTAATCAAATATACAAAGACATAGGATCCATGTTTATTTTCTAGATCATATTTTTCTTGATTTTAAAATTAATACATAATTTATTTCATGGCTACAGTTTAAGTAATTAACCTTTTCGTAATAATTTCATAATAATAAATAAAATTTTAATCTTCATTAGCACAGCTAAGCGCATTTATGCTATTACAATGCGTAAAGAAAAACGATAATTATCTGTAAACGGCAATTTTTTTAAAAATGTTTTTAACTCAACTCTCGTGTAGCCATTTTCTTACAAATGTTATCAATAAAAAGAAACTTCCTAATAATATAAATTTCTTTCCATTCATTAGAACAATCATCAGGGTTAGGTATGTTACGAGTTAGAAACGTTAAACAGACATCAATGAATTAGTAGCTTTCTAACTTTAGAGGCCACCGACGGCGAAAACATGCGTATCGCGACATGTCCAAGATAAGAGCGATGTGTTAGCAGGAGCGTCGATGTGACTGCCATAAACTACTGAGGGAGAGACACACAATGAACAGTTTGTGTCAGAACGGCGCTGCAGATAAGAACTTGTCCGGATATTGCCAGGCCGGTTGGACCATGCTCTGCCGCCGGGTTAGAAGCTAGCTGACTCGTCCAATGGCAGACTTGATCCGTATTTCGTTGGCTGTGCTCCGAATAATAAATACAGAGCGGGGAGCCAACCACCTGTTACTCTGCCTCAATCTGGATGATGGCTGGGGAATATCGACACCTCGTTTAATGCCCTACTTGTCGGGATTGCTCTTTTTATCGTAAATGCAGCGTTCTACTAAAATAAAAGTAATCTTTATTACCTTTTAAGAGGTTGTCAAATATCGCTCTCGCTCTCTTTAACACTTTCCAAATTAGCGGCATTTATCCTCTTATGACGTTTAACGAAAGATGCTTCCAACTCCACAACATCCTTCTTTAAACGTCATAAAAGTCTACTAGTTTTTATAATCATTATTCGAAACGAATTTACTTCCTTAATGAACTAATTGGTTAAACGTATTGAGTAAGAAATAAACTCTGTTTTAAATTTTTAAACAAAGAAAATATTTTTAAATACAATCTTTATGTGGAAAAATTAAGTTTTTATAAATAAAATACAAGACACATTTCTACAATTTATATAGTAAAAACGTATAGAAGTCTTATTATTCTAAGAAAAATTTTATACATATGAAATAAATATTCCATAGAGAGCATTAAATTTCATCAAGATTGTTACTTTTCCTTAATATAGAATTATAAGAAAACTTATAATAAGCTATACTAAAGTGACTGTTCTCATGGAAAGACTTCTTAAATTTCAATAAAATAAAACGAAAGTAAATTAAATATATAAACAAAAAGTAATGAAATAATATATAATTTCTCTTGTTCGACATTTTTAATAAACTTTTCCTAATTATTGTTTATATTCTCTTTCTTCTAAAGAAATATGATTACAGGCAGAGTATCTTAATTGTTAAAATTTCAAGGGATTTCTTTTCCCAAAGGCAATGTTAGAGTTTAATTTATTATTTCTCGAGTTTCCTGTCAACAGTATTCTTCCGTTTTGTATATTTTAAACGATAAAATTTGCTCATTGATAAGGGGAAAATCTTGCGCTATTAATCTCAATATAAGAAATAAATTTATTGAATATAAAATATAATATTGAGTTATTTTAATAAATTATGATATTTAATTTTATAGTAATAAGTTGTTTACATTATATAGGTTTTATATGCGGCTATACTTTTCTAATTTTCTATAATGGATTAAACTAAAGAAGCCTAAAAGTTTGATTAAATAATTTTTTTAATAAATTATCTTTCTATAGCTATTTTGAAAACAGATTAAATTTCAACTATTAAATATTTAAATACTAAAATAAAATATTAAAAGATAATTAATTTACTAAATATTCATTTAGCAAACTATTCGAAAATATCGATAATTTATTAAAATATATTCATTTTCGAAGTTTCAGTTTGGCAAATTTTACGTTAATTTCATTAGCATTAATCTATGACAAGGAAAGTAACTGATATCACGTGACGGTAACCAGACCGGAAAAAATTGACAATGCAATAGACGACGTGCCTGGAATATAGACATTTCTAGAAAATGACCTCGAGACTCGACAAAGATGACCCTATTGATAACCATCCCATGCAGAGGGCACACGTGGGACCAATTTCACCCCTTTATTTCTAATGACAGCTGAAAACAGAATATTGTTCGTTAGCCTCACCTACATTTTAAACTCGAGGGAGTCACAAATGAGCAGAGAATTGTAAAACCTAATTGTAGTGGAAAACTAAATACAGACCGAGAGTTTGTCCCCTACAGATCCCTGCGAATTTCTCTTCCTGATAACCTCTTGAACCTCGTGATTTTGCTCTCCTTTTCTGAGCCCACTAATAATCATCGAGAAGTTTCATTTCTTATATATATATATATATAAGTTATTACTGAATTCTAAGAATAAGGAAAAAAAACAAGCCTACATAAAATCTAAGGAGGATCGATACAATAATAAATGATTGATTTGTTTGACTAGAAAAAGCTATTTTTCTACATCTAATATTTATTTTATGATTAATCTAACACGTATTTAGGCTACTGTTATGCCAAATTAAGTTATCTACTATTGAAAATTAGAATTTGGTAGCGATTTATACTGAATGTCCTACCTTTAACAGTAGCGGGACAAACGGT